TATAGATGATTAGCTGAATAGATGGCTGGGTAGATAGATTAAAGAATAAAAGATGAACGGATTGATAAATGGATGGATGAATGAATGAATGAAAAAATGGATGGATGGATGAGTTAAAGAGGTTTTTATATTTACCCTTGAAAGGCCTCTGATGTATGGACCAGTTTTTCTGTGCCCTCTTTTTTGTAGGTCTGTGAACCGTAGTACCAATATAGGTTATGCAATCCTACCATGAATGCAAACAATACCTGTTTGTATATTCGTTTGTATGTTTGTGTTGTATGTTTGAAATAATAAGTTTTAAGTCAAAAATAACAACGCTTGTGTTTGTATATATACATACAAACAAACATTTCTAAAAACACAAACAGACAAAAGACAAATATACAACAGCACAAACAAGCAATAAAATCTAAAGAACAAAGAAACAAAAAACAAAGAACAAACAAACCAAAGTAAACAAAACGAGAAATCTCGTAATATCGCCAATCATTCGCCCGAGCGATATTTGGAGAGGGCCTAGAACTTCGAAGGCTGGCATCAGGTAGGTTGTCCTGGCAATACTCAACACGTTGGCTACAGCGAATAGAACGTCTGATACAATTTCGGGATCATTTGGTTTCCATTCGAAACGAGCTGTGTGCGTGTGTGTGCGTGCGTGTGTGTGTGTTTGTGTGTGTTTGTGTGTGTGTGTATGTGCGTGTGTGTTTGTGTGTGTGTTTTGAAATCTGTCTGTTTTTATGTAATTGTATATTTACCAGCGATTCAAAATTGCAATTAATTACCAACAAAATATGAACTGTCAAAATCTACGCTTCATAAATGTATTTGATTGATTAATTTTCAGTCATAATAGTCACCATCACTATCACCACCACCATCATCATTATCATCACCATCATTATCATCATCATTATTATCATCACCATCATTACCATCATCATTATCATCACCCTCGTCACCATCATCGTCATCACAACCGCCCAAAAACTAACAGGCTTTCATAAAGTAACTATGGTGGTTAGAGTCGGAAAAAATTCCGTTTTTTGTCTCATTGTATAGCGCTTCATTCCTAGTCAAGAGGGCGTAGCGAGCCTTCTCGATACCGTTGTAGAACCGGTCGGCAGCTTTTATTCGGTGATCGACTAGAAACCGTAACACGTAGGAGCTCAAATATACCGACAAGACGACGAAGTCAATCATGTTGTAGCTATCGAGTAGGTAGACTCGTAAGCCAGAATTGTACATCGCCTTGCATTCCATCCATAAGAGGCCTGAGTTGGGAGTGTTTTGGGATGATTGTGTTTTTTGTATGCGTGTGTGTATGTATGTATGTGTGTTTGTTTGTGTCTGTTTGAATATGTGTGTGTGGTGTTTGTATGTGTATTTATGTATGTACGTGTGTGTTTGTTTGTATGTGTATGTATGTGTGTGTGTGTGTGTCACATTTTCATCTATTAATTTTACTCCACAATCGCACTCTTCATCACCACCATCATCATCATCATTAACATTAACATCAGAAACATCGTCATCATCAACAACATCTACAACATCAACAACAAATACATCAACACGTCATCATCGTCATCCACATTATGACGTCATCGTCTCACTTACCAAAGATCCAAAACATGAGGCATATTTGGACGTTAGTCATCAGGACGTTGGCCGGCCTGAAAGTTGCCATCAACATCCTCTCCATCCTATCTCTATACTCTTCTCCAACTAATATCATCATCTCCTCGATTGTTAGCTCATCATTATGGTTATTATTGTCGTTATTATTATTATTATTGTTGTTATTTTTATTATTATTATTAATGTTATTATTGTTGTTATTATTAATGTTATTGTTGTTATTATTATAATTAATATTAATGTCGATATTGTCTAGCTTGTGAAGATCGGTTTTTGTACTAGCATTATTACTACTACTATAAATAGTATTTTTTGCAGTAGAAGCAGTTGTAGTAGTAGTAGTAGAAATAGCATAACTACTGCTACTATTACTACTACCATTACTACTACTACTACTACTACCACTACTACTACTGCTACTACTGCTACTACTACTACTACTACTATTACTACTACTACTACTATTACCACTACTACCACTACCACCACCACTAGAAATAGTATAATTGCTATTAAAGTTAAAATAAAACCGTCCATTTGTAATATTATGATAAAACAGTCCCTTAGAATAATTAGTGTAAAAAGGGTTCTTAGTGAAGTTGGGGTGGAACGCAAAAAGGTCATTCGTGAGGTTAAAGGTCATGGGGTAGGTTTGGTTGTCGAGTCGGAAGGTGGCTGCCGCCAGGAGTACGAGGAAGCAGATGTGGGAGAACGTGTGGGTGATGAACTTGGAGGCGGGACATCTTAACGCGCGCCCAATCTGTGGGTGGGTTTGTGGTGGTGTGGTGGTTTTTATTATTATTATTATCGTTATTATTAATATTATTAATATTATTATCGTTATTATTATTATTATCATCGTTATTATTATTATTAATATTATTATTATCGTTATTATTATTATTATTATTGCTATTATTATTATTGTTATTAAGTCATAGAGAAGCACATAGGATCAGAGATTCAGTATACTGACCCATGTACAAAAAGCAAGATACCGTAATGTAATGTATCGAATAGTATCGAATCGAGTGTTATCGTATCGTATCGATACGTATGAAATGAAAAAAAAAGCTCTGAACCTGGCATTGCAAATGCCAAGCCAATATTTCTCAGTATAAATTTTTTCAACCATGCAAAATGAGAAATCGCTCACCACGAATATACAAAAATATACAAACATATACAAAAATATACAAATTTATATATAAAAATACACAGACAAACATACATACATACAAAAAAACAAACTAAATACAATACTAAAACATGAATATAACATAAAACATGAACACAAAATTATACAAACTTATATATTAAAATACACATATATACAAACAAACATGAAAAAATACAATACTAAAACATGAATCAAAAAACCAAAACCACAAAAGCAAACGAAACAAAACCAACAAAAACTACATACACGTACACACGCACACTCAGACACACACGCACACATACAAACACACTAAGGGCAAATCCATTCTCCCAGCCAATGATATAAACTCCACAAAATGACCGTTGACCGGATTGGTTAAACCGCAGAAATATGTATTATTGCGCGCTGTTGGAACTATTTTATGTGGCGTATGTATGCCTATTTTTAGATGAGTAAAAAAGCCCATGGAGAAATATTTACTAATAAATCAATGTATATGTTTGTGTGTGTGTGTGTGTGTGTGTGTGTATACATGTTTGTGTGTGATCATGTATGTATGTAAGGTTAGGTTCATTCTTTTATTTTCTTATTTGCTTATTTGTAGGTTCAATCTTCTATCTATTAATTGTGATGTGTATGTATGTGTGTATGTAAGCACATTTGTTTGTATGTACATTTGTGTGTGTGTGTTTGTGTGGTGAGTGTGTGTGTGTGTGTGTACGTGCGTGTGTGTGTGTGTGTATGCATGAGATTATCTATTTTTCTATTTTTTGTTTGTTTAACAATGTTTATAGTGGGTTGAGTGCGTGCACATGGTTTATGGCGTTTATATGTTAAAGCCAGTTTTTATTTATATTTTTATTGTTTCACAAAAATTTTTTTCATTTTTTTATCTTCATTCATTCGTTTGTTTGTCTCTTCATCCATTCATTCATTCATTGGTTTATTCATTTTATTGCTTGTCCATTTGTATGTTCCAGGCTCATTCATTCAAACGTTTTTATTCCTTTTTTTATTCATTCATACATTCATTCAGTTTTGCATTATTTTATTTGCATATGCCTTCTTCCATTTATTCATTAATTTTTTCATTCATTCCATCGTTCGTTCGTTCGTTTATCCATTCATTCGTTCGTTCGTTCATTCGTTCGTTCGTTCGTTCGTTCATTCATTCACATACAAGCATTCGTCCATTTCTTTGTTCGTTTATTTCTACGTTCAATCATTCATCTATTCATTCATTCAATCTTTCATACATTTTTTGTCCAAATCCTCTACCGTCCATCCATCATCATCATCCTCCTTGCGATTGTGCACGAATTATTTTTTTGTCTTTTCCATTTATCGCTATCGTCATCACCATCATCATCATCACCATCATCATCATCATAATCATATCATCATCATCT